CCCCAAGTTTATCGTCCGTTTTGAGTCACGGCTATAGTGGGAAAAGTGGCATACCGATTGGATCTACCGGAGGAGGTCAGTTATATCCATATCACTTTGTATATTTCACAGTTGCGAAAGTGTGTGACCGAGGAGTCTGCTATTGTTCCATTAGATGATATTCAACTTGATGACCGCCTGAATTATATTGAGCAACCAATGGCGATTCTTGATACGAAGACGAAGGCTTTGCACAACAAGGTGGTTGGTTTGGTGAAGGTGCATTGACTGCACCGAAAGGGTTCCGAGTGGACTTGGGAGCCCAAGGAGAAGATGCGCGAGCACTACCCAAATCTGTTTTTCAGATGAGGATTTCGAGAGAGAAATCTAGTTCAAGTGGGGGAGAATTGTAACACATGTTCTAGGTAAATACTTCATTTATGTTTATGGCGGTTAAAGAATTAAAAGTGTGGGTTTAATGTTGGCCACGACATGGTGAAGGATGCACCACGATGTGGTCATGGCCAAAGGAAACACACAATAACTATGAGCACCATGACGTGGCAGGTCCATGGCCACGACATGGTGGCGGCCAGTATGTGAAGCCCTAATTTTTAGGGTTGTGTGCCTTATTTAAGGGATATGATGGCTCGGGTTTGCACAACCTTAACCTTCATCACCTCCCTTTCGACCTAGAGAAAACCCTAGCCTCCATTGTTGTTATTGTGATATTTCGTGGTGGTTTTTTGGTCCTTTAAAGAAGAAGCAGGTGTCTTTGGTGCATTGTTCCATGAAGCAAATCTCCTCATCATCATCTTGTGCTGTTTCTGGACTCCTGTAAGTCCTCAAGCTTCAAACTTTTGTGCTCAATCATTCTAGATCTAGGTTTTATCCACTTTCATTAATGTTTAGGGTGGGTTGAGTGTATGGATTCCATAAAGTTGGCAACTTTAACGGTCATTGAGGTTCCTTTCTGGTCTCTTGTCCTAGATCTGGGGAGTCATTGAGTTATAGGCTCCATGGACGAGATCATAACCTCATTTTCCCCATTTTGACCTAATTTGAGCTCAATACATGCATTTGACATGCATGTCTATAAAGAAAGGATTTTTATGATGCTTTGGGTGTAAGAAAGCCCTCTAGAAAGTTTGAGTGTATAACTTGAAGGATTATAGCATTAAGCTATCTAGTGCAGCTTCCACAACGTGGCGGGTTGGTGTAACACCCGTGTTTCTGGATAAACATTAGTATGATGATGTAATAGTTAGGGTCAACAATTGTAACCTATTTTGAAGTAATGAAGAGGAATTACTTTAGTATTATGTGATATATGTGATTTTGTGTGCATTATACTTATTTATAACGACATAATAAAAAATAATAATAAAAATAAGCATCAAAAATAAAATAATAGAGAGACCCAATATCTATGATGAAAGTTGAATTAGTCGTAACAAGGATTTCGGGGATATAAGGAACGTTGAAATCCGACTTATAACGAAGAAGTTTTGACCTGTCGAAGTTTTGCGGCAAAACCGACACGACACCAGGAATTGTAAAAAGTGAGTTTGCGATAAAATACCTTTTGAGCGATCTAAAAGAAAGTCGTAGTATACGTTAAACCGAGAGCGTTCATAAAACGAACGTCCAAATCTTACGTCGTATGAGGAAGTTATGATTTTTCTAAGATTTAGCAAAGCAGGGCACAACCCGGAATTTGAATTTTAGATCGACCGATTTTTAGCCGACACAACCTAAACGAGAATTGAAGATCTCATTAATAGGAACCCAACGATATAAAGACAGACAAAAACAGACGTCGGATAACAAAGTTATGAATTTTTAACGGACTTTATCTGTCTAAGCCCGTTAAAATATAACTTTAAAAATAAATTCAAAATTAGCGGAAGGAGTCTAAATGAAAGTTGTAGATTATGTCGCTACCTACGCGTGGATATAAAGAACATCAAAAACGGAGCTCGTATGTGAAAGTTACGGAATTTAGAAGTTGTGTATATACTGATGCAAGGAGGGACACGTGGCTGAATCTGGACCGTTGCTTGCTCCCCATGTCTTCGATTTGGATGCTGTCAGCTGCCCCCTCTTACGTGCAACATAGACCTCGTACGTGCAACATACTGAGTACGCGCAACGTACTCTGAGGATTACGCCCAACGTAGTCTGAGGAGTTCAACTATAAATAGATGCGAAGACACCCTCATTTCTTCACACCTTCACCCTTCTTTCTCTCTCAAATACTCCAAAACTATCCCTCCCCTTCCCCAGCACTTGCTCCGAGAAGAAGAGCTTTTGGCTCGGAAGTTCTGCCCCTGCAGAGCCTGGTTGCTAGCCAAACCCTCTTATAAGTAAGTTATGCTTACCCTACTTTAAGTATAACTTATATTTAAGTTTATTATTGTTATTATGAACCTATAAACAATATATCTGCTAAGTATATTAAAATATAAATTGTTATTATAATATCTTGAAACTACTCGCGGTATGGGGAATCTGGTATGAAGGGCCGCATAGGGTTGTTGGATTTTAGAACAGCTTAAATGCCAAAATGGTCCTGCCCTCCGGTGTTTCATGCCTGACCCTGTCTGTACATAGTAGTTGAAAAGTGTTGTTTAACACTTATAAAACAATATTGGTCATAAATAGTCGCAATAAATATTAGACTAAAATCTACCGGTAATGATACTAGGTTTCGTCGAAGGAATATAGAATTGTTAGAAGCGAAGCACTGCCCAAGTTTGGAATCATCACTTTAACAAGTGAGTGCATAGTTACTTTCATCTTAAACATAGATATGAAATGTTTGATATAAATTACGTGCTATATGTGCATATTATCTGTGTACTCGATATTTATGCTGGATGAACAAAATATACATGTTTTACTTGATTTAAACTGTATATGTATTTTATACCTATAATTATGATGGGTAAAGATGGGTAGATGATACATATGATGAAATAAATGATGAGAGGACTCAATGTTTAAGATGATCCAGTCATCTAGCGGAGTATATATGACGACCACAGACTATTCTAGACAATCTAGTAGAACGCTGACTGGCTCGCAACCTATATGTATTTTTAAACTAAGTGTTCACCAGGTATACTCCATCCCCCTCATGGTTGCCTTAATTGACATATATTGATGAGGAATCCCCTAAGCAGTGTTGTCACCCCGATGAAAAATCCTTAGGCTAGGTCCCTTATTTTAGATGTTGTAGGGACAGAAAGTGAGGATAACGAGAACGGGTAACCGGATTGATTGATTGATGAAATTAATAAACTTAATTATTTGTGGGTTGAAAACCCTATGTGCTCATTAGGCTCCCATGTCTGACCCACTCAATTTCTTGTATAGAGGTAGTGGCAAGAGAGCACATGAGTGATGACCTGATGAGAGATAAATGGATTATAGGCCATTAGAATAATAGAATGTTGTAAGGTCTATGCTGTTTCTGTTTATGCTTTTGATCTGTATTGACAATGACATCCCGAGGTTTTAATATAATGAAAATACATTTCTTCGGAAATGCTTTGATAAATTTTTTATCATATTTTTTAGAACAAATTCTGCAACATATTTCTTCAAAAGTATACTCTGATTTTCAAATAAAGCATAAACAAAATTGGTCTTTTCTGGCCGTGAAATTGAGGATGTCACAGTTGGCCACCACGACATGGAAACGGGAAGCGTTCACAATTGTTTTGTTGTCTAGCTGCCACGACGTGGCCTATGGGTGACCACGATATCGAGGTCAACTAGGGTTGATTTTTGACCGTTGACTTTTGACCAAGTTGACTTTTGGTCAACTTGTGGATTTTTAGGGTGTAGACTAAGAGGGTACTTATATATTGTTAGTTAGGTGATTCTAGTACTGGTCTTCGCTATTAGAGAGTTGTGGTGTTAGCCTGCTGTTTGTGAGGTGAGTCTTCTCACTATATTAACTATTTCATAATAGGGTGCATGCTAGACTACTTGAGTCTTATTTGGTGATTGTTGTTATGTGTATTTATTGAGTTGTTGATAACTCATGACTGCTGATAGTCCACAGGGTTGCTGATAACCCATAGGGTTGTTCTGAGCTCACATGACTGCTGATAGTCCTCAAGACTGCTGATAGTGTCAGGGCTGCTGATAACCTATAACTGTTTATCAAGCTGTGTTGTATGTGATATTTTGGAAAACTCACTAAGTTTTGTGCTTACAATTGTGGATTTAACTGTGTTTCAGGTACTTCAGATGATCGTGAGAAGATGAAGGCTTGACTGTACATACTCATAGGTAGTTTTCGTGATTCCGCATTTTATGATACTCTTATTTTTGGGATAACTTTATTTTGTTACTTATGGCTTTGTTGACTTGGTTTTATTGAAACAATTTTTTACCCAATTTAAAAATGAAAAATTTAGTTGTGAAAATGGGACATTACAAGGAGGCGTGTACGGAAGAGAAAGAGTCACCGTTGGTGGTAGTATGTAGTGAAGGTTGTACATGTCTTAAAATTAAGACGTTTATGCAGTGGGGTACTTGTATATTATCCATGCATTATATATATATATATATATATATATATATATATATATAATAATTGTTTTACTTTAACAATATGTAATTAATATTTAAGACATAACATAAATAAGAATTAAACAAATTATTTAAACTTTACATTATTTAATGAACATGTGACATACTACAAAAACTAATATAATAAAAATAATATACGTATAACAAAACTATATAGTAAAATAATAATAAATAGAATATACAAAAGTGAAATGAATAGCCGACAGCTAGCAATGTGCACGTACAAATAAAAACAATCAACCCCGTGGGGAGCGAGTATCGTGTGCATTAATATATTACTATGGCATATAAGATGTGAAAAAGATCGTGTGCATGATATATTGGTGTAATTAATTAAGCAAATTATATATGGCCATATAAGATGTGAAAAACGAAGACGCAAAATAGATCATCAAAGCCCTTTCTTCTCTGTGAAGATGACTATGATTGGCAACCTGATAAGATTTGGTAGAAGGCAGCTTCACACAATCGTCTCTAAAGAAATCATTAAACCCTCTTCTCCGACCCCTTCTCACCTAAAAACTTACAATCTTTCGTTCATTGATCAAGCCTCCTTAAACACGTTTGTCCCGTTTGTTACATTCTACCCAAACACTGGTTTTTTTCCAAGTTCCCATGACAAAATACTTCCCTTGAAGAAGTCATTATCTGAAACCTTAACTAAGTACTACCCTTTTGCTGGTAGGTTAGCCAAGGTGGCACCATCCTTTGTAGATTGCAACGACCAAGGAGCTGAGTTTCTTGAAGCATCCATTGATAGCACGCTCTCGGATTTCCTTAAAAACTATCAGCATCAAGATCTCGACCAATTCTTTCCACATGGTCTCGTAAATCAAAAATCCAATCGTCCAGATGATGATGATCTTGAAAGCAACGGAGTGATCCCGCTGGCCATTCAGGTCAATCATTTTGAATGTGGAGGAGTAGCAGTGGCTATGTCGTTGTCCCACAAGATAGCAGATGGAAACAGTTTTGTTCATTTTTTAGACGACTGGGCTAAAATGACACAATTGTTATCATCGAGAGAGCAGAAACATGGACTTCCCGACATGGACTTCCCGACGACCCCCACTTTATTCCTTTTGAATACATGAATCTAAATTATAATGGGTTTACACTTGGATCCGATGAATGTGTTACAAAGAGTTTCATGTTCCCCAACGCAAAGATAAACGAGCTTAAACTCAAAGTCAAAGCCATGATCGCAGAAGCTGGACAACTCATCACAGACCCTACTCGTGTTAAATTTTTGAACTGGCTGCATTTATAAGTCTGCAGTTGCAGCAGCTACCAAAAACAATTCAGGCTGTTTGAAACCCACCGGTGTTGGTCAACTGACAAACATGACAGGCAGATTCATGGAGAAGTTGCCTGAAAAGAGTATAGGAAATTTCTTCATGGTTATGGATATTCTAACACACAACCAAACTGAACTGAAGCCGGAGTCATTCCTTACTGAGCTCAGGAAGCAAAAGATGATGTTCCAAGGCATAAGAAATATCCAAACCGCGTTTAGTATTCTTTCGGGAATTACTGTAGAAGAAGGTCAAAGAAGATTTGATAGTGTTTATCTTTCTACAAGCTTGTGTGGGTATTCTACATATGAGATTGATTTTGGGTGGGGAAAGCCTGTAAAAGCAACCGTGGCCGGAGATCTAAGGAAGAATAGCTTTATTATGATGGATGCGCCAAACAGGGACGGCATTGAAGTACTCGTGTGTTTGGGAAAGCATGACTTGGCCGTTGTTCAAAGTGACCCTGAGATGCTTGCTTTTTGTAATTAGTTTTCTTATGTGTTTTACAGTGCATGAATTCCAAATTAAATTTTCTTCCTTTTGCTTGTTTGAAACCATAATGTGACTTAAAACATCAATGTTATACTGTTAGTACTTTTTAATAATAACCTGTTTTGGTTTATTTGTTCTGTTTGCAATCTTTGATTACTTTGGGATAGAAGAAATATGACTTTTTCATGTATTCTTGACTTTCGTGTCAACGGGCTTTATAATCACATGCATGATTAATAAGTACGTTAATTACTATTAAGATTTTGTGATAGAGACTTTAATTAATTTGCTCCATAAGTTACGTATTTAAATATACCAGGAAGTAACTTGTTGTCGATGTATACTTATTATAGGAAGGGGGTGTTTGGAGCTTATAACTTATAACTTATTAGCTTATAAATTCATAAATAAGTGTAGGGTAACTTATGAAAAAATGACTTATTAGATGTTCCACCGAATAAGTTACTTTCATCAAAACATTTTTTTAACTTATAATGATGATGTGTAACCATAATATTGTTGACTTCTTGACAACGAGCTCTATATATAATCATATGCATGATAAATGAGTAACTTATTAAGATTTTGTGATGGAAGAAGGTACATTTAAATTTCTATTTCCTCTATGGTGTCGTCTTAATCACTAGTGTCGGGGACAATTATAAGTATGTAAATATACTCAAATCTCTCTCTCTCTCTCTCTCTCTCTCTCTCTCTCTATATATATATATATATATATATATATATATATATATATATATATATATATATATATATAAAACATCAGTGACATACAAGATAATTTGTTATACAAATTATATCAATCCTTTATAAAATATTAATGATTTACCACAAACATAATCATTTTTCATGACATACAAAAATGTCAGTTAATCAAGAAAAAAGAAACATGCGCAACTTTTTTTTTAATTTCATCCCACGTCTAAAAGAAGTTTTATCGTTTTATATTTCGGCTACATCGTTGCCATTTCCGTCTGCTCTTAAAACTCTAGGGTTTAGAATCCTTCTTCAACCTCATATATTTCCCACCAAACATGTTTCCCCCTAAACAAAAGTTATGATTCCCTAAAGCCGGTTCCATTCTTCGTCAACAACTTATTCGTGAATGCCATATTCTCTCTCCATTAAAATTCTTCAGGTTAGCCGATTTGTTTATGAATCGTCTTGTTCCTTCACACAGCCTGGGTCCGGATTCCATTGGAATCATCGCTTTTTCTTATGGTTGTACTGGTGTGGCAGCACGAGCCTACAACTTGGTTAGTCTCGAGCCTACATGGTTTGTTGAAATCCTCAAGGATCGCCACTCAAGGTTTGGTGATTGTTGTAAGCTAACAAAACATAGAACGACTAGGTTTCGTATTATTATCAAATGAGAAGTACAATATTCAATGAAAGGAAAAAAACACAATATATAGACCAGCTAATTAGGATTTCCTAGCTAATGGGCCAATATAAAAACCCAATACAAAATAAAGCCCAAAATCTAATTAGGCTAACATCCCCCCTCAAACTCACAATGCAACAACAATAAGCATTGAGAGTTTGTCACACAAAAAATGAAATCGAGGAGCAATTAAAGGCTTCGTAAAAATATTAACAATCTGCAAGGAGGAAGGAACATAAGGAAGGGAGATAGTGCCCTTCTAGATTTGATGTCGTGTGAAATGACAATGAATCTCGATGTGTTTTGTGCCCTCATGAAACATTGAATTCTTGGCAATCATTATCGCACTCTCGTTGTCACAATACAAAGGGGTAGGCTGAGAGATGTGAACACCCATATCTGCAAGAAGCCATCTCAAAGTGGCGATAGCCATGGCTCGATACTCAGATTTTGTAGAAGAACGAGAGACAACAACTTGTTTCTTACTCTTCCATGATATCAATGAATATCCAAGAAAAATATTGTAACGCCCGTAGATTCGGGCTAGTCAATTTAGAGACGATAAGCGTCAAAAATGACTTTTTAATAGAAGATTATTTAGAATGAATAATCTTAACCAAGTCATAGTATATGTTACAAGGGTTCCGTACATATAAAGAACGCCGAAATCCGAGTTATAACGAAGAAGTTATGGCTCGTCGAAGTTTTTCAGCAAAACCGGCACAGCATCGGGAGACGTAAATAGTGAATTTATGATAGAGGAATTTTTAGCATTATAAATCTAAACAAAAGTTATATTATACGTTAAACCGAGAACGTACAAAAAAAAGAACACCCAAATCTGACTTCGTATGAGGAAGTTATGAATTTTCTAAGATTTGGCATAACAGTACACGACCCGAAACTCGAATTTTAGATCGAGCGGTTTTTGGCCTACGCGACCTAAATGAGAATTGAAGATCTCATTAATAGGAACTCAACGGTAAAAAGACAGACGAAAACAGAGTCCGTATGTAGAAGTTATGAATTTTACGCGGACATTTAACAGTATAATCTCCTCGTACTGTTAAGTTTAAGATCAGTCGAGAATTAGCAGACGGAGTCAAAATAAAAGTTGTAGATATTATTTTTACCTACGCGTGGATATAAAGAACGTCGAAAACGGAGCTCGTATGCGAAAGTTACAGGGTTTAGAAGTCGGCAGGGTGCTGCTGCAAAAGGGGTGATGTGGCACAATCTTGGTCATTGCTTTCTCTCCAAGGCTTGCCACTAGATGGTGACATGTGGCACTAATTGCAGCCATATTTCACCCTATAAATACAACCCCTTCCACCCTCATTTCTTCACACCTCCACCCTTCTCTCTCTACTCTCTCTCTCTAAACCTCCCAAAACTCCCCTAGCGCTAGAAGAAAGCCCCAGAGCGCTCGACGGCTCCGAGAAGAAGAGCTTTCGGCTCGGAAGTTCTGCCCCTGCAGAGCGCGACTTCTAGCCAAACCCCCTCGTAGGTAAGATACGCCTACCTAATTTTTAATATAGCTTTTATTTAAATATAGTAACGTTATTAGGACCTTATAATAATTATTTGAGCTATTATTATTATGGGTTATATAAGTATCGTTATAATATCTTTTTAACCACTCGCGGTACGGGGAATCCGGTTTGAAGGGCCACCTGGGTTGTTGGATTTCAAAAGTGTTATATGCCAAAATGATCCTGCCCTCCGGTGTTTTATGTTTGGCCCCTGTTTGTACATAGTGGTTGGAAAATATTGTTTAAACGCTTATATAATAATAATAATAATAATAATAATAATAATAATAATAATAATAATAATAATAATAATAATAATAAGACTAATAATTAGTCACGGTAAATATTAGACTAAAATCTAGTGGTAATAATACTAGGTTTCGTCGAAGGAAATTATTTTAAAGTAAACGAAGCGTTGTCCGAGTACCGAGTCACCACCTTATCAAGTGAGTGCATAGTCCCTTTCATCTTACACATAGATATGAAGTATTTAATATAAATTACATGCTATGTGTGCATATTGTCTGTATACTTGTCGTCTGTGCTGGGTGAAAGATTTTTATACATGTTTTAAATGAATTAAACTGTATATGTATTTTATATCTACAAAATGTGTTGGGTAAAACATGGATAGATGAAATAGCTGCTGTGTGACAAAAAAAATGATGAGAGGTGATATAGACCATGAGATAAGGGTGAGAGGTAAACCATGAGAGAAGCCTTTTACCCATGTGTTGGCCCCGTCATTCAGCAGAGTATGGATGACAACCACAGACTATTCTAGACAGTCCAGTGGACCCTAGCAGGCTCGCAACCTGTAGGTGTTTTGAACTGTGTGCTCACCAGCTGTACTCTAAAAACCCATTGACATGTGTTGTGAGAGGAGTCTCGAAAACGACACTGTCGATAGACGAGATTAACCCTGGCGACTATGCAACGTAGTGCCTAAACCCCCTGACATGTGTTGTGAGAGGAGTCTCGGAATTGATACTGTCGATAAAAGAGAATAACCCTGGCGACTATGAGACTTAGTGCCTATTGAGTAAACCATGGCATCGATGGACTTCGTGCCGATTCCTTAGGATAATCCTTAGGAATGAATGAACGATGAATAACTGATTCTTAGGGTAGATCCTTAAGAGTAAATAAGATAATGGGGATGGGTAATTGGGTTGATTGATTGTTTGATGATTAAACATAATGATTATATTATTGTGGGTTGAAAACCCTATGTACTCACCAGGTTTCCCAACCTGACCCACTCAAGATTATTTTTATCACAGGTGTCAATCTGAAGCTACTTTACACTGAGAGATTTAAAAGAGATGTAGATCACAAGTGTAAATGAATGTAAGTTCTGTTTATGCTTATGTTTCTGTATTGACGATGACATCCCAAGGTTTTGAAAATTAATAAAAATACATTTCTTCGGAAATGCTTTGATAATGTATTTATCATGTTTTTCTGGAAACAAATTCCGCAACATTTTTATTAAAAAAGGTACTCTGATTTTTATAAAACATAAACAAAATCGGTCTTTTCTGGCCGTGAAAATGGGGATGTCACAAATACAATACCCAGTAGTGGACTTACGATCATAAATATCACTATCCCAATTAGCATCACTATAGGCACGCAAATCAAGAGAAGATGTAGATGGAAACACAAGGGTACGAAACTGAGTACCACGAAGATATCTCAAAATACAAAGAACAGCTCCCCAATGAATAGTAGAAGGGGCAGTGACAAACTGGCTAACCACATAAACTGCATGAGCAATATCCGGTCTAGTGACAGTAAGGTAAGCCAAACTCCCTACAATGGTGCGATAAAAGATTGGATCTGATAAGGGGGCACCATCACTTGGAGAATACTTTGCATTACTCTCTATAGGCGTATCAACTGTCCGATTATCTGTGAGTCGTGCGCGTTCAAACAAGTCTGAAATATACTTCGTTTGAGATAAAATATAACCCTTTGGGGACTGCGGAACTTAAATCTCCAAGAAATAACGTAGCAAACCATAGTATTTCATAGCAAACGGTGATCCAAATCACGCT